GAACATATTGTATATAGTCTAACAGGTTGTTTTATATAATGTACATAGGTTTTAAATAAAGTTCTAAGCCAAAGGATTATACGTTATGAATTAAGAACAAGGTTATTGAAAATGTAGAATATATGTGTTGCTCTGGATTGTGTTTGGTCGTTACAGTGTTATATCTCCCCCCCCCCCCATCACCGGCTTCCTGTTCGTTCCCCCTCTCCCCCCTTTTCACCCTCCCCTTTAACCAATTATCTTTGCTCCCCTTTTATTCTCTTCTCTTCACCTTTCTATCGCATCTTATCCTTCCCTCTCCCCTTCTTCACGGCTTTCCCTTCCCCTTCCTTTCACATTTCCAATTTTTCTCCCCCCTTCCTTCCCCCTTTTCGTCCTATTTCTTTTTCTTTACCCTTCCCTCTCCCACTTCCCCTTTGCTTTCTTCTCCCATCCTCCTTTCTCCTCCCATCGCCCTCTCCCCTCCTCATTCCTTCCCGGTCTTCATTTTCCTCTCTCCTTCCCCTCCCACTCCCTTTGTTCTTCCCTCCTTCTTCTATCTCCCTTTTTCCTTTCCCTTTTCCTCCTTCCCCACCTCCTTTATTCTCACTCATTTCTCTTCCCCTTAGCTTCCTCCCCTCCATCCCCTCCCTAAACCCACCTCCCACCCCCTTCCCTCTTCTCCTACCCCAACCCCCACTCCCTCCCTCCCTCCCTCCCTCCTCCCTCCCTCCCTCCCTCCCTCCCTCCCTCCCTCCTCCCTCCCTCCCTCCCTCACTCCCTCCCTCCCTCTTCTCTCCATTCCTCCTCTCTCCCTCCTCTCTCTCCCTTCCTCCTCTCTCTCTCTCCTCTCTCTCTCTCTCTCTCTCTCCCTCCCTCCCCCTCCCTCCCTCCCTCCCTCCCTCCATCCCTCCCCTCCCTCCCTCCCTCCCTCCTCCCTCCCTCCCTCCCTCTTCTCTCCATTCCTCCTCCCTCCCTCCCTCCTCTCTCCTTCCTCCTCTCGCTCTCTCTCTCTCTCTCTCTTCTCTCTCTCTCTCTCTCTCTCTCTCTCTTCTCTCTCTCCTCTCTCCCTCCCTCCTCTCTCCCTCCCTCCCTCCCTTCCTCCTCTCTCTCCATTCCTCCTCCCTCCTCTCTCCCTCCCTCCCTCCCTCCCTCCTCTCTCCTCCCTCCCTCCTCCTCTCTCTCTTCTCTCTCTCTCCCTCCCTCCCTCCCTCCCTCCCTTCCTCCTCTCTCCCTTCCTCCTCTCTCTCTCTCTCTCTCTCCCTCCCTCCCTCCCTCCCTTCCTCCTCTCTCCCTTCCTCCTCTCTCTCTCTCTCTCTCCCTCCCTCCCTCCCTCCTCTCTCCCTTCCTCCTCTCTCTCTCTCTCTCTCTCTCTCTCTCTCTCTCTCTCCCTCTCTCTCTCCCTCTCTCCCTCCCTCCTCTCTCCCTCCCTCCCTCCCTCCCTCCCTCCTCTCTCTCTCCCTTCCTCCTCTCTCCATTCCTCCTCTCTCTCTCTCTCTCTCTCTCTCTCTCTATCTATCTCCCTCTCTCTCTCTCCCTCCCTCCCTCCCTCCCTCCCTCCCTCCCTCCCTCCCTCCCTCCCTCCCTCCTCTCTCCCTTCCTCCTCTCTCCCTTCCTCCTCCCTCCCTCCTCCCTCCCTCCCTCTCTCCCTCCCTCCCTCCCTCCCTCCCTCCCTCTTCTCTCCTCTCTCTCTCTCTCTCTCTATCTATCTCCCTCTCTCTCTCTCCCTCCCTCCCTCCCTCCCTCCCTCCCTCCCTCCCTCCCTCCCTCCCTCCCTCCCTCCTCTCTCCCTTCCTCCTCTCTCCCTTCCTCCTCCCTCCCTCCTCCCTCCCTCTCTCTCTCCCTCCCTCCCTCCCTCCCTACCTCCCTCTTCTCTCCTCTTTCTCTCTATCTCTCTATCTATCTCCCTCTCTCTCTCTCTCTCCCTCCCTCCCTCCCTCCCTCCCTCCCTCCCTCCTCTCTCTCCCTTCCTCCTCTCTCTCTCTCTCTCTCTCTCTCCCTGCCTCCCTCTCTCCCTCCCTCCCTCCTCTCTCCCTTCCTCCTCTCTCCCTCCCTCCCTCTTCTCTCCATTCCTCCTCTCTCCCTCCTCTCTCTCTCTCTCTCCTCGAAGTAAAAGCAATTAACCAGAGAATGAAGTTAGCCAAATAACAGTGATTAAGCTCGTGAAATTACCTTTCGTCTCATAATTATTTGATTATTGAGTTTCTCTTTTAATCCGGAGATCACTGCTTTCCTCATGTTGGTTCTCCAGTTGTTGTTATGGTATTAATTGTAATGGTAATGGTAGCTAATGGGAATAATCAGAATAGTTAAAGAGTTAAATGATTATGGGAATGATTGTGTTTTTTTTTGTTTTTTTTATATATATCGTTTTTTGTGATTAATAGCAGTAGTAGCAATGGTTTTGTTATGTTATTCTTTCTATCATATTATTATTTTTTCCCGTCCTGTTGTTGTTATTATATCCATATTATTATTGTGACTATTGTTAAGATCACCATCGCCGTCCTCACTGTTGTCGCCATCACCATCATTATCAACATCAGCATCACCATCAACATTATTATCATCATAACCATCAGCATCACTATCACCATCAGCATTGCCATCAACATTAACATTATCATCACCATCATAACCATCACCATCAATATCAGCATCAGCATCAACATTATTATCACCATCACTATCACCATCATCAACATTATCATCACCATCATAACCATCACCATCAATATCACCATCAGCATCACCATCAACATTATTATCACCATCATCAACATTATCATCACCATCACCATCAACATTATCATCACCATCATAACCATCACCATCACCATCAACATTATCATCACCATCATAACCATCACCATCAATATCACTATCAACATTATCATCACTATCACCATCACTTTTACCACTGTTATTACCATTATAGCCAATAATATTATCATTATTATTCAGAATTTAATAAACAAACTTTATCCTTATCCATTCTGTGTTAATACATAGGATATTTGATACATCATTAACGTGGAAAGTAAGGAATAGGAAGGGGGAGGGAGGGAGAGGGAGGGAGAGGGAGGGGGAATGGCGGAGTATGAGAGGGAGAGAGCGAGAGAGCGAGAGAAGGAGAGGGAGAAAGGAGAGGGAGAAGGAGAGGGGGAGAGGGAGAGGGAGAGAGAGAGAGAGAGAGAGAGGGGGAGAGGCGGAGAGGGAGAGAGGGAGAGAAGGAGGGGGAGAGGGAGAGGGAGAGGGAGAGCGATAGCGAGAGGGAGAGGGAGAGGGAGAGGGAGAGGGAGAGGGAGAGGGAGAGGGAGAGGGAGGGAGGGAGGGAGGGAGGGAGGGAGGGAGAGAGAGAGAGAGAGAGAGAGAGAGAGAGAGAGAGAGAGAGAGAGAGAGAGAGAGAGAGAGATTTTCGCAAAAAGACTATTTTATTATAAAAGATGGAACAGACATTTCATTTCTTCTCTTTCCTCCCTTGTGCTGTATCATCATCATCATCAAAAACACCTAGAGCAAACATCAACAACAACGACATCACCATGATCATCATCAACAGCAACAATAAACAACAATAACAATAACAATAACAATGACAACAACGACAATAACAACAATAACAACAAAACTACATTCAACTTTAGGACATGTATATAGAATGTAAAATGGTCACTTCGCTGGTAATTGTTTACTTTTGTGAACGAGGCTGGACCCAGTTTTGAGAAGGGGGGGAGGAGGGGGTGTTAGTTCGTGATGAAAGTAAAACACGGAATGTTTGCCTATATATTTTTTTCAAATTGTTTTTGTTTTCGTGATTGTTTTTTTTTTTGTTGTTGTTGTATTTAATGGTTACCAGTGACATTATGATTCTTTTGTTACGAAATCGTTATGTTTCCAGAATAATATAGGGAAATAAACATCTACTAGATACTATGCTGCTATTTGTATTCATACGCTTACAAACGCACTTTTATCCAACTCACGCACACAGACCTTTGTATATTTATCACTATGTAAGCAAGTGTGGCTATCTATATATATATATATATGTATCTATATATATGTGTGCAAGTATATATGTAAGTCTTTATCTATGCATGTACGCAGGTGACTTCGTATGCATGGAAAATATGTAAGCGTGTATGTTACTAAATAGTCATATTAAAGTGACATTGCTTATAAATGGCATATAACTACGGTATTTTGTATGAGTGTGTGTGAGTTTGCGTGTATGACTGTGTGCGTGCATAAATGGGTATGTGAGTTCGTGTGATCTCGAGCGTGCGTATTGGCGGAATAAAGAATCAATGCCCCCGTTTTCTCGATGAAAAATGGAACAGTGTACCCGGAAGGATTTCGTTTTCTTTGTACAAAGTGAAAAGGAAAACGAAATCGCTTCAAAGGGTAACACAAGGAATAGCATAGATCATATCTTTATGTCGTTGATGTTCTTTATTTTTTGCCAAATAGCCCGTTTAGTAAAATTCATTCAACCTGAGAACAGTATTTTATGAATTATGGTAGCCAATGTATATTGTGATCGTATACTAACTGCGGCTTCATTTTCCCTTTTTGATTAGTGTACATATCACAGTAAAGCCTAAAAACTGAAAATGATTTACAAACAGAATCCTCATATGTAATTATTTTATTTATTTATTTATTATTATTTTTTTAGAGATTACGGCTGAGTTAAAAATTCATGTACAAAATGTTTCCGTGATAAGGACCTGAAAGCTTTTCCTTTCTCTCTCTTCGCTTACAAACTACAAATAAAGAACCCATGATATCACATTGTACAAATAACTCCATACCATGATATATTTCAACAAAGGCGTCTTTTCTAAGTCAATGTGTGCTAAAATCGTGACTTAAAGTACAACATCAGTAACAGCATGTACTTGTAACGAATATTATATCCTATGATGATATACCTTATGGCACATCATGGATTTTAGTGGGATATATGTACAATATTCATTCATGTAGTAATTTGTCTTTTTTTTTCTTTTTTTCAG